AGTATGGTTTAATCACAACGATTATTTGAAGTTACACGTAACGAAGAAAGTTGAATGCTTGCTATTAACGAGTTTATTCATTAGCATTACGAGTCATTTTATCAACGATTAAGTGTAGTTAGTCGAGTGGTTCATCAGAGTAGTGTACTATGCGGATTTTAATATCATTTTTCAATTAATTGATAAGAATATGAGTGTGTCAGCTCGAGTAACCATTGTAGGTTGGTTTTCGACTTTCTCGGGTGAGTGGTGTACTACTATCTCTTCTATTAATTTACAAACTCATATCTTGAAAGTAGTGGAGATTTAATATAATATGAGTTATGAAATAGCATACTTCTTACATAAACTGGATCGAACTTTTATTACCTTTTTAGTCTGTTAAAAAGGCATCAGAAAGCCTTATTTGAAGTAGTTTGAAATGATCTTTTGTGAATGTTTTGATTAGATGTTTTGTGAAGGAAATTACCAACAGCTATATGTGTTGATTGCGAAATGCTTTATGAAAATCATTATATTTGATAAACATAATTATGAAAGATTATATGATTTAATTTGTGAAATCGATTTATGAGATTGTTTCTGGTATTGATTGTGGGTTATTGGAGATTGATGTTAATGGATTATGCTCATGTCATTGTGATTAGAACCCATTTAGGGGGTAAGTATGCATACTATTTTAGGATGTCTTTTAGACTGATCTATCGACTGATATAGGTAGTTGACCTAACAAAAGGGGGTAAACTTGGTCGCCTTTGTCACGGGTGTTAAATTGTGATCATAGTTACATGTTGATCATTAGATTCGTTGATGGAATGAACTATCAAAGTTTAAAGTGATATAACTCAATTGATCTTGTATGTGTATTACATACTGAAGGGAGGTAAACTTGGCTGCCTTTGTCACGGGTGTTAAATTGTGACCATAGTTACATGTTGATCATTAGATTTGTTGATGGAATGGACTATCGAAGTTTAAAATGATATAACTCAATTGATCTTGTGTGTGTATTACGTACTGGATTGAGATAAGTGAGTTTTGACATCGGTTTATAAAGATGCATAGTGAATATTCAATCCTCTTAGAAGAGATGTATTACTCAGTGGACTATGGTTGCTCATTTTATTCATCTTACTTATCTTTCAAGTTCTTTAACGAGCCGCAAGTAGGATGAGAGCGTTATCGTTATCAGGAGGACATTTGGATAGTATGGTTTTTTGGGTATGAGTTGTATATGACTTTGATAAGTTTTCAAGTTAGTTGTTTGTTGGATATATGTATATATTTTTTTGATGGATTATTGAAACTTTGATACTATAACCAAACGAATTTTTAATGGATGTATATATTTCAATATCAGGTTGAGTCATAGTTACATTTGAGGCCACGTCTTTTGAGCGAAAATGTGACATTCCGAATTTTGACCCATTTTTGGGATTTATAAAACGTGTATTTCGTCAGTGTGCTTATAGTAAAATCTCACTCGGAATTGATCACTCTTGGGTTATTTTTAAATTAGAGATTTCGTTAAAATCACACTCGATCGAATTTGGCCGTTATTTAGAGCCCGAACTTTGGTGTTAAATTTTTCGAAGTTTCGTGACGAATTTAATTGAACGGTATCGATATTATTGTGGCCAATGTCAATATTGCCCGGGATAAGTGAAAAGTGAAATTTGGATCGGATGCGGATTTGGACTAGTAGGCCTTCCTCGTAGTGTGTTTTATTTGGTGTCTATTGGTCTTTTCTTTATTTTGAATTGGGGATTTTTAGGACCATTGGATCAAGTTCGCAAGATCGAATTGTGGCCGTTGGATCGCACTTGAGGACAAAATTTGACTTTTGTCCCTCTCTCTCTCTCCTCCCCCTCTATTGCGCCCAGCTACGCGCGTCCTTTCCCCCAAGCTACGCACGTCCCTTCCCCCTTCCCCCATGCAAACTCTCTCTCTTCCTTTTTCTTTCTTTCTTCTTCTTCTCTTCTGCTTCTTCCTCCTCCTCCCCCGGCCGTTGCTCCTGCTTCCTTCTTGCTGCTCGCCGCCCGAGCTCGATGTCGTCCAGCCACGGCGCGCCGCCGCCATCGCCAGCCAGCCCGGCCGTGTGCCAGCTCGCCCGACCGCCTCGCCGCTCACCCAGCCGTGGTCGGACTGCCCAGCTCGTGGCCGAGCTGCCCAGCCACTCACCCGTGGCCCAGTCGCTCGCCTGGTCGTAGCCAAGCCCATTGCCCCCGCGTCCCGGTCGCTTGCCCGTTGCCTAGCCCACGGCCAAGTCGCCCAGGCCGTTGCCCGCCCGTGGCCGAGCGCCTTGCCGGTCGCTGTGCCCGTCGCGCCCTCGCTCGCGCCGAACCCGTTACTGTTCACCTGGGCCATTTTGGCCCCTAGCCGATTTTTCCAGGGCCAAATTTAAGTAAGTGACTTCCTAAACCCTATCTAGTATAATGGGTATTATTTAGACTTGTTTAGGATGTAATTAGTACCGGTTTAGTGGCTAAGTTTGGATTAGGATCAATATGTGAATGTGGTTAATTGGTAGATTAAATTGTAATGATTATGTGGCATAATTTGTGGCTGATTTATGTGGGTGCGATGACCGGATTGTCGTGGCGTTTGTGGATGAAATTGACGTTTGATTGGGCCGACTTGAGTGTCGGATTGGTGGGCTAGTGTGATGAGTTCGTGAATTGAATTTGAATTGTACGACGTGCTAGAATGATGAATTGTGTTGTGGTGCATGTGCATAAGGAATGTCCTGAAGCGTGGTTACGCGGGACTAAGCCCGGATTGATCGGAGGGCTGACCTAAGGCGTGTTTACGCGGGTCGTGAGAAAGTGTGAAATGTCTAGTGAGGGACGGAGCCCAGATTGATCGGAGGGCTGACCTGAGGTGTGTTTACGCGGGTCGTGAGAAAGTGTGAAATGTCCAGTGAGGGACGGAGCCCGGATTGATCGGAGGGCTGACCTGAGGCATGTTTACATGGGTCGTGAGAAAGTGTGGAATGTCCAGTGAGGGACGGAGCCCGGATTAATCGGAGGGCTGACCTGAGGCGTGTTGACGCAGGTTGTGGAAAGTTGTTCGGCCACGCATGTGAATTGTGTTTGATTGAATTGGGTGAACATACGTGATTTTGGTGCTTGAGTGTTTATATTACGTTCTTGAGTAATTATCGCATTATGGTGATTTAGCTAATGCGCAGGGTTGGCATTTGATTTAAGGCAAGGTAAGTATGCTTGTGTGAAATTGAATGTGTTGGCTATTAAATCGCATGTTAGACTCGTCTGGGTACGCATTGGCCTAAATGGGGTATATGTTGTCTGCTTATTGAGATTTATTCTTATTGCTGTAATGCAAACCATTTCAGACCCCCGACCCCGACCATGAGTGATTCGCCTGTACGTTTTGGGATCCCGAGGCATACTGAGCACTCGGCGGTGGAGTACCCCGTAGGGAACGAGAAGGCCTATGTTAAGCATACCACGATGCTGTGGGTAGATGTGGGTAAACCTGAGTTGCAGCCCAATACATACCGGGCATACTGTTATCGGGATTTATACGGAGTTTACGGACCGCTTCGGCATTTTGATGTCCCGTTTAATGGGGGAGGCGAGTGGGACCCCTCAGCTTCCTTGCCCCCGATGGTGAGGTTTTGGATGCCGGAGACGCCCCGGTAATCCCTAGCCCTGAACCGGAGCCCGAACTCGAACCTGTGGCCCCTGCAGACCTCGAGCTTGAAGAGGAGTTTGAGGAGTCCGAACCCGAGCCCAAGGAGGAGCTCATGGAGCCCGAGATCGAGGAAGAATTAGAAGAACCAGAGCCCGAGTCTGAGCCTGAGGAGGAGCCTATGGTGTCCGAGCACGAGGAGAAGCCGATCGAGATCGACTCGGACACTGAGTCGGAGCCTTCAGGATCCGTTTCAGATTGGGCACCGTAGGAGGATTTGGGTGCTAGGACCTAGGAGCTTTTTGGTAGGGCCCTTTTTGTGTATTCCGTAGTCTACCCGGCTACCTGTCCCTTTTCTATGACGAAGGTGGATACTAACCCTAGAAACCTAATGTATGAATTTTATGGTCTCAAGCTAATATTATGAGTTTATTGATTTTCTTCAAGTACTACCTTGTTGTCATTGTTTACTGTCTGGGATGTTTAATTTTCGCTTTCACTTGCGTTTGTCTTCGCGACGCGTCCTGGGACGTCGCGTTCAATATGACCATCGAGGGGTGTCGCAAGCCTGTTAGGGTTTGGGGTGTGACAGAAAAACCGATCGTGTCATTGTCCCTGGGAAAACCAGCCGTGTCATTGCCCCTGTTCCCATAATGTTGGGGGTGTGACATAAATTACATCTAGCGTTGATCGAAATAGTGACCCCTTGGACATGTGACTTTAAATCATCTGTCCAAACATATAACATTGAGAATCTTGACACAGGAAACTTTTTTTCTCCAGATTTTAATATTACGTCAGTGTGAATCCGCCTGTCCAACGGATTTTTTGACATTCGTGCTTGATGCCCCGCCCAAGAAAGAGACCTAAGTCCTAGTAATCCTGTTTGCTTAATGGCGAGTAATCAGTTTTATAACTCGATTTACTAATTAACTAGGATACCTCCGTTGAGTTAGGATCCAAAGATAAGGGAAACAAGGGAAGGACATGGTTGCTACAGGCGCAACCGAGCTGCTTAGCTGGTCGTAACGGTTAACAAGACAATTTACCATCAGCAACTCCAAGATTTTTGTTGGTGAATCTTGACGATCTCCTGATCTTGTCTAGTGATCAAGCAAGCAACACACACGTGATCGGCACTTAATCTTCAGAAGTGAAATAACAAAAACCAGCTTATGGAGTATATACTCCGTCACCATCTACTTGAAGGATAACATCTGTTCCTCAATTAAACATCAAATGACGCATAAATGAGATAACCCTAAATTTGCAGCTAGACTCAGCTTCTTTATGAGGTCGATCGGTGCAATGCTATTTTTCTCCACTCAAACCTAAGTACATAGGGAGATCAAAACACAATTATATTCACTGTAAGCAAGCAAGGAGCAAGCTTTTATGCAAGTATGTAGCCCAAATGTAGAATCTTGCAAGCTGAAGAACTGAACAATAAAAATTTCTCTCAACCCCCAAGGCAGAATCATCAAGTGAGATATGGTGCATCAAAAATCATCATTTGCAGATAAAAATAAAAGTGGTTCATTCTCTCTCTAGAAAAATGACTTTGCAATATTACCTTCATCTAGCTGAAAAGTTAACTAAAGCTCAGTATAAACCCCACTTGCTCGCTATCATGCTCACTTCCGTGTGTTGCAACTACTCCAGGCATGTTCACTCAATGACTTTGGGCAGCAGAGTTTTAAATATCAATGAACAGAAAGTGAGCATCGTGGGACTGAAAAAGAAAAAGAACAAGATTTCGGCATCTGATATCTTCAGAGAAAATGAAGGTGCTAGTAGAACAGCTGTGAAGTCCTGTTGAACGGTTAATCAATCAGAAATATTCAACTCTGGAACTCTTATGCAGGTTCATGAAGGCCTACCATGTGACCATCTAAACACCGCATGGCAGCAATCTGACCAAAACCAGCATATACATGCAACTCTTTCAGATTGAAACACTAATGCTCAGGGGTTATAATAATGAAAAAGTTGATTAACGTTGATATTAGTACCTTCCCATGGATCTCATATTTGATGGGACCATCAAGCTCAGCTCCTAATGCCATTAGCTTTGTCACTGTGTTGTTGATGTCAGTGACCGTGAAGGACAGGAGTGAAGAATATCCCTTCTCCACGACGTGATCGCTGCGTATTGCGGGTCATTAGTTGCAGTTGTCTAAAGGGAGCGTCTGAAAATGCAGATTTTTTTTTTATTGTTTATATCTCACAACATCAAACTAATAGCAAAACCCAGATTAAGATGCAACCTTCCAGACCAGCCGAATACGAGAGCTGAACTTGTCAGACCGTCAAGTCTCGTTTTGTGGTTTCATTAGGCAGAAGGCCTCTTAACTCATATTTGAAACTGTAACCTCTAGACAGGTCAATGAAGAACTCATGCAGAGCTCAATCCAAGTAAACCTTTCATTCTGACACATCCAGCACAAATAAAGGAAAGGCATCACCATAAATCTACTGTGCCTAGAAACCCCATACCGAGATATACTTGTGAGTCCAGGACCACTAAATGAATCCATTGTGAATTTCACAGATTATGTGGAGTCCATATCCTCGGACTGGACCCTGCACGAATTCTACGCGGCGACCGGCACTACCTTAACCTTAATTTGGAAGAGCCAAGAGAGACGTATCTGAAATTTCCCACTCCCTCAGCTCACCTCCCACTGCTACGAGCCCACGAGTAGAATCACCAGACACAACCGAGGAGAAGGGAAGGGGGGGGGGGGGAAATCCAAACTTTACGAGAGGAGACACGAGGACGAGCCACGAATTTCAGGCAAGACACACGACAGGGCATGGGAATGTCGAGCTAAAAACAACGCCGTGCTCTCGTGGACAATTCACCGAACAGATGGGCGGGTGGGGGGGCATTGGAGAAGGGGTCACCTCGACGCCTGCATCAGGGCGAGCTTGAGAGGGCCGGACTCGAGCTCGGCCCACCGGAGGGTGCAGACGTTGACGGCGAGATCGAGGCCCTGCGAATAGAAGCGAGCAGCTCTGGGGACGTCCCTGTGAAGTTGGAGCACCCACTTGAACGAAGCCGCCATTTCTCTCTCTCTCTCTCTCTCTCTATTCTACCTGGAAGCTGACCGCGCGTCGCGTGGCGTGTTTGTGCTGTTCTCGTTTTGCCTGCGTCGTTTCAGCTCGGGACGGCCAAAACGGTTTGCGTTTTCGGAGAAACTGGTTGAGAGAACAGTTTGGAGTTCCATAACTTTGCTTCCCAATCTTTTGTATTTGGCTTCCGAAAGAAAAAAAAAAAAGAACCGAAGTAATTTGGCTAGCTTTGATATAGCATTTGGCACGGCGGAATGGAATGTATTCAGGAGGGAACGGAATGAAAACGAAATGAAATGAAAGGTCCGTTTGTTCGAAGGAAAACTATTTTCCCAGAAATTATTTTCCGACTTTCCGGTGCTTGGATGCGTTTTCCACGGATTTAAAACAATGGACTTATATCGGGGGAGGGGAACCAACTTCCACTTTGTGTAAGGATGAAATCACTTTCCCTAAATCACCTAAACCACCAAACAGACAAAAACTAATCATTTTCATGAAAAATATTTTATTTTATCGCGAAATTTTCAGCGAAAATACAGACTCAAGACGACAATTCCATTATCTTTATTTGGTAAACTGTGGGAATGGAATGAAATGGAACGGTGTTTTTAGTGTTTGATCGTGAGAAAAACATGTAAGAGGAAAATTGAATGAGGATTATAAAGCATAAGAGTAACAAGTATATTGAATATGGATTCATAAGAATTAATATTGAGAATTCCCAATAAATTTTGTACATTATAGAAGATAAATGATTAAAATATAGGAAGTACAAATCAATAGGGACAAATGCAATAAACTGAAAATAGGTGCTTATAATTTTATATACATCTGCCTTTGTTGGTCTTCTTGACCGTGAAGTAGCAGCAAAATCATCTGCCTACAGCATTTCCAACTGCACTAAATGAAGAAATTGGCCTCACGTGATGCATTCCGACGATGTGTATCGGCTTCCGCAAGCTTCATCTCAAAAGTTCTCGGACTAATTACTCACCTTCGATGTTCGAGACCAGTACTCCTTGTAAAGCTGCCCGAACAACGAATCGTCCTTGCCTACCAATTTCATAGGATGATCACACTCTACCAATCTCCCTGTTAAATACAAAGAGTGTCATGTATTTCTCACAGTTCTTGTTGGTTCTCACTAAACAGTTCACGGTGAGTTCAAATTTACCATCACTTAAAGCTAGCACCATCGTGCAGTCCAGGACGGTTGGTATCCGGTGGGCCACGGTTAAGACAGTGGAGTCCGCGAATTCCCTTCGTATGGTTCTCTGAAGGATCAAATCGGTCGCGTTGTCGATAGATGCGGTGGCTTCGTCCAGGACTAGGATCCGGCTTCGCCTCAGCAAAGCTCGTCCTAGGCAAAACAATTGCCGTTGCCCCATGCTCCAGTTAGATCCGTCCTGTACGACTACGATTTGAGTTTGCGTAAACTGTTAATGATTGACAACGAGAATAATTAAACAGGATTTGTAGTCAAATTTTGTGTTTACCTAGCGATTCCAGACCCTGATCTTTGCCTTGTATGGCCTCCCGGAGCTGACATTTTCCTAGAACCTTTTTCCACAGAAATTTAATCAATCATCAAACATAACAGCAAAGTCCTTCCTTTTGCGGGGGCTATAGTCATTCAAGATTTAGCTCAGGAGCTCTCATTAGATTCAAATTATGCACGACGAGGTCTTTTTATAAATCGAGTACAGACAGTAAAAGAGAGAAGGATACACCAATCAAATTTCAAGAGACGTGGAAATTACCTCCCATATTTCCTGATCGGTGTGCTCAGACAAGGGGTCCAGGTTGTATCTAACTGTCCCGCCAAAAAGTGTCGGATCTTGCGGGATGACCCCGAAATGTGATCTCAGGTCATGAAGTCCGATAGTGGTAATGTCTAGGCCATCAACGATTATTTTCCCATCGGTAGGCTCCACTAGACGGAACAAAGCACTAATGAGAGTCGTCTTTCCGCTACCAGTCCGGCCAACGATCCCAATTTTGTGCCCTCCTTTTATTTTACAGGTTATCCCATGAAGAACAAGGGGAGAATCGGGCCGATACCTGACCTGTTAATGTCTCGATAATCAAACCGAAGTGCGCTACAAGAGAAGTCCTAATCGAAAGGTGTGTAAATGGTGCTTGTGTCTACCTTCAGATTACAAATCTCAACATTGCCAGAAGAAGGCCAGTCCGTCGCTGGTCGGCTATCTTCGATCACTTCAGGAGCTTCACTTTGAATGTGCATGTACTGCTGTAGCCTTTCTACTGAAACGATCAAATTCGATAACGAGCACTGGAATTGGACCGAAAAGACCAGGAGGACATTTAAAGATAGAGCGTATGCCAGCACCATACCAACGTATCCTGCATCAAATGATAGTGAGACCCCGCACCCACTAAAATCTTCTAAGCTGGAAACCCATTTCCTAGATGATATTGAAGGGACAAATGAACCAACATGTCGATGCATAGCTGCCTTTAGTAGAGTCAGACATCAGGTTAAAAAGTGCCAAAGTAAAATGATACCAGGTATAAGAGCCAAGCTTCTAGGAAAAGTCTCAATATGAAGAACTAGATTGAGCTTTTAATGATACGAACCCGAGGAAGAGGACCCGAGATCAAGAAAAGTAATTGTGAGGGCCGAGGATGTTAGGACAATAGCGCACAGGACTTCCAGACGTTGGACCAGCCACTCATTGGCTGAAAAGCTGTGAAAATATGGACTGGCATTCGCATCAATAAGGCAAAGACTTCTTGAAAAGAATCGGTCTTCTTGGCCAAACGCTCTGATTGTCATCACTCCGGCGATAGACTCAGCAAGGTGGCTCGCGAGTGTAGACTTAGTTGTGCCATCGAGTCGCGTCAACTCATTGGAAGAAGCGTAGTAGTATTTCTGTAGTAAAAGAAAGACAAAAATCAATGCTACATTGGAGTTTGAATGGTAGGAAGAAGTCCCTCAGGAGGTAGGTGTGCAGAACTCTGCCTATTAAGGAACAATTAATTGATTTGAGGCATAAGCATTACCTGTGTGATCAGTGTCAGATAAATCATGGGTATGATGACAAATAAAACCGGCCATGTAAGAAAGGCGAGTATCAAAAAGCTCGAGTAGGTATTCATAGTGGACCCAAGGGCAATGGTTAACTTGAAGGCCAAATCGATATCGATGATGCTTAAATCTGAAGACACCTATAAAATTCAGCAAATAATGTTATCCATCTCAAACATCACCAAAGCGCAGCACCAATTTGACTTAGGATTTACCCGGCTGAGTATTCTTCCCAAAGGAGTCGAGTCGTAAAAGGACATCGGCGCTCGAATAAGGGAGTGCAACAACACAGAGAATATGGACTCTGATGCACTGCAACCTAAATAGACTATGAAACACGATCTAAAAAGCAAAAAGAGAGCTTCGGCAATGCCGATGCCAGTGTAAACAGAGTTCAACTCGATGGCGCTCACACTCGTATTGTTGACTTCAGAAGCCAACCAATAATTTTGCACGAACAGCCCGGCTATAAAGATAATGTGAGAGATAATTGCCAAGGTGATAAACAAAAAGCCCTTGTTGTGTTTCAGATACTGTAAGTAGGGCTTGAAACCGCTGTCTCCTATCTCTTTTTCCTCCTGCTTAATCAATTGACTTCCCAGAGAGGCCTCGAGTTGTTCCTCTATATATATATTCTGGATCTCTTCCTTCGAATATCCAGGCCTTCCCAATGAAGTGATTCCGATTTGATTTCCAGAACCAGAGGTTGTGTGATGCGTATTCACAAGGTCCTGAAATTCTTGGCTAGAAGCCATTAACTGATCGTATATGCCAGTGCTTACGATTTGCCCAGATGACATTAACTGTCAAGAAACACAACTGTTCAGGAACACCATGAATCGAATGAGAAAAGTGAAAATAGCTCTATTTTTTTTGAATGAGTTACTGACCAAGATACAGTTAAAAGCTGGAAGGAAGTCAACTTGATGCGTAACCAGCAAAACAGTCTTTCCGGATAAAGCTTTCATGACATATTCCTGCAACAACGAGCAAACATCACATTCATTTAGAAGTTTATCTGAAAACATATAGAAGTTTCACTGTCCTTGAGAGGAGATCACATCGAATAAGCTAGTCGCTGTATGTGCATCCACGGCACTGAAGGGATCATCCAACAGATACACATCCGCGTCCTGATACAGGGCGCGCGCAAGTTGTATCCTTTGCTTCTGCCCACCGCTCAAATTGACGCCTCTCTCCCCTATTTGAGTTTGATCGCCAAAGGGAAACATCTTGATGTCCTTGGCTAGGGAACACTCCTGAATTACTTCTTGATATTTGACAGAGTCCATGGCTGATCCGAATAGGATGTTTTCTTGTATAGTCCCGGTCTGGATCCACGCTGTCTGAGACACATACGCCATCCTACCATAAACGCGAACCTAAACACGGATCAAGGATTACCAGTAAGTCTTCAATCAAATTTGTTGCTAAATGATTTAATTATGACCTGATAAATCATACATTGTAAGTCATAATAGGCATAAGATGAATGCGTCGTAACAGGAAATAGTACAATTCCATAGTCGTATTTAAAGATCTCGAAAATATTAGTGGGGCAGTTACAATTTATAAATAGAAACTACCCGAAGGAGAAGATTCTTTGATGACTTACTATGCCATTGATAAATGGAACTTCTCCAAGAATTGCAGCTAAAAGGGTAGATTTCCCCGACCCAACTTCCCCACATATAGCTACTTTCTCTCCTTTTCTGACCGACAAATTAATGTTCCTCAATGTCTCGTTTGAGGTACCACCGTCCCAAGAAATTTCACGTGTATCCAAGAAAACAGCCGTTTCCAGCAACTCATTATCACTCTCTTGCTTTGTTGGTTTATTTTCCAATTCAGGTGCCTCTAGAAATTCAGCGATCCGAGACAATGAAACCTTAGCCTGGATGAAGGACCCGACCACATCGGGAATCAATCTGATCGGTTCCTGAACAATTCTTAAACTCACCAAGAACATGAAGACATTGCTTGCATTCAAGGGAATGCTCAAGAAGTAGCATGCCCAGAAAGTGATGGCAGGAACTAAAACCGCCAAAGACCAAAACACGACCATATAGCTACCTTGTTGCCACAAAACCGCCGCAATCCACTCTGATTCGTCTTTCCTCAGCTCCTCGATAACTTTCTTGAAGTGCTTCTCCCAGGCATATAACTTCAACACCTTCATATTCGCAAGCGCCTCTGCAATCACCTTTAGCCTTTTATCTTGAGCCTCCATGAGTCTTCTTTGGTACTTGAGTCGCAATTTGGCCATCGGAGAAATCAAGGCGACAATCAATGCAAGTACCGCCAGAGCCGCCAAAGTTGCAAGCCCCACGACATAGTAAACAATGGCTAATGCAAGGCAAAGCTGAAGGCTAGTCGACCATATTTGGTGAAACCAGTAAGGGAACTCACCGATCCTATAGGCATCTGACGCGACATAATTTACTATCTCGCCTGGAGAGTGAGTCATTTTCGCTGCACTCGAGAGCCGCAGTTGCTTCTCACAAATCGCTGCATATAGAAAAGATCTTATTCGGAGTCCAATCAGTCTTGCTCTAAAAAACCATTGCCTTTCCGATAGAGATTCTAAGCATTTGGCCAAGAACAATCCTCCAGCTAGCACGTAACCCTCATACTCGAAAGCCTCCTCACCTTCCGCAACCGTGATGAAGGCGCTAAGGAACAAAGGCCCGGTGGAGAGAGTCAAGACCTTGGTCAAAGCAAAGAACCCGGAAACCAAAATCCCTCTCCATTCACAGTAAAATATCGTAGACAAGATGGAGTAGGTATCATATGGGTTCTTCTTTTCTTTGTGCAGTTGCTCCATGAACCTCAAGTAACATGTTTCCGCTCTTTCTTCCAACCTGAGACGTGGAATATCTTCATCTTGAAGGATCTTCTCTTTCCCCAATTTCATTAGCGGAGTTAACCACCAAAACAACATCTTGCTGAGAAATCCTGCCTTGGCAAAAGAAGTGACGTCGTGGTTCTGTTCTTTGTCCAGCAGAGGTTCATACACAGCGCCATTTTCGCAGTCCTTGCTATTCTCCATGTAACTGTATCCTCTGAAAGCAAAATAAAAAAAAAAAAGGCAGGAGGATTGCTCCAGGAAATAATAAAATATCCCACACCAATAACACGGATGCAGTGGCTTCCTTTATTTCCCGTGGGGAGGATGTACAGAGAAATCTTGTGTACTATGAGGGTAGTATCGAATAAATCCAAGCTAATGCATTGTATGGAAGGCGTAGCCTCCTAATGGTCACCTCAAAACTAGCAGCAACCAACTGACCCCTTGGAACAGGAAGACTAGCCACTCATTTAGAGGTAAAAGAGTAGCATCCTCATTCAATTTCCTGAAGATTAACCAAATTCGAAGTGCAGACAAGTGGAAACTGCGGTGGCAGTTGTAATTTTCTTTGAGGACAACTTACAGAGTAAGTCAAACAGAAAGTACAAAATGAGCAAGATATCAAGTCAAATGACCAAAATCTGGTTGGTACAAGAATGGTGATTGAAAATGGACGCGAGCCCGGAGTTGCTGGTATGTCCAACTTGACTTGAGCACCCAGAGTCGTCGCAGATACGGTCCAGAATTCTCCCCAATTGTGCCTCTTTCCTGAAAGACTGCAATTCAGGAGCATACTTCAAGACTATTATCATGTCATAGTTAGCAAGTTGCCTTGAAATTTGAATTGCCATATGAAGGCATGAACGATGGATAGTGTCTCGTTAACAGATGCCCTTGAGGGCAATAATTAAGGTTACCGAAAACAGTGAGAACATTATCGTGACACTTTGAAAGCCCGAGTGGTACATGTCGTAAGAAACCTACCCACTTCCGACTGGAAGTTATGCATTTCCAAAACACAAACAATGAGGCTTGAAAAGTGCACAAACGGAACTCTTCAATGATTTCCTCGTACTCAGGCGAACAGTTGTGGGTAATCCACTCGATTTGCCAAGATTATCAATCAAGGAAGTAAGCTCATGAACGAATCATATTATTGGGAAAACCCTGATACATATATGGACAAGAAACCACCGAAAGAACTATCTGATTAGAAAAAAGAAATTGTCAGAAGAAAAGTGGCAATGTCTTCAATACCCACGAAAAGCAAAAAATCAAGAAGTTCTCGAGTCCTCCTCCTGCCCACAAAACACGCCTTTTCGTGCGCATATTCAGCAACAGCAGCACTAGAAAAAGAACCGATAAAGATTCATAGACGCAAGCAAGATCAAGACTTCAAACAAGGAGAAGAAGAAGGAGAAACACTCACTTCCAAGCTCTAGTCAGCAATCTTTGCCAAAACGGAGCAGACGAAGAAGGCAGAGGTTGACCCTGCTTTCAGAGCGTCCCTTCTCGCTTGCTGACAATCCATATTTATTCCGAGGAGCTTGATCCGGTCGGAAACAAAGAGTAAAGTTGACTTGTGCAGATCGGAAAACACCTGCCTCCCCAAATCGTGCATGCACAGAGAGAGAGAGAGAAGCCCACCTGCCCTTCATTTAATTGCTCTATTTTCTAATATAATATGTACAGCTAACTTTCACATTAAACTAGGCATGGCGGGTGCGATGCGCGAACGGGACGGTGGAATCACCCAACCGCTCTTCTTTGCTTCTTTTTGTTTAGGAGTGCTACCACAAATATCTCCAAACTGATACACATATAATAATTTTATTTCAAATTAATTTGTTAATCACCAAAAGCCCAAACTGATACATATATGACAATTTTACCCTGCGTTATCTTCCGTTAAATTTTACTGTTAAATTACTTTGTTAAATGACACCCGATAATTGACGGATATACCAGTTTTGAATTTTACCCTTCATTTATTCCAGGTGTACCAGTTTATGATTTTTTTTTTTGCATTAATCGAATTTAACTGAAATTAACGGAAGGTAAATTTGTCACAAATGTACGAATTTGAGATTTTTTGTGGTAAAAAAATTAGTTTGAGATAAAATTGTCATATGTGTACTAGTTTGGGATTTATGGTGGTCAAAAAATTAGTTTAAGGTAAATTTATCACAAATATACAAGTTTGAGATTTTTCGTAGTATTAACCCTTTTCTTTTTGGATAGGGTGAGTATGCACGTGCGTGCGTCAGAGAGGAAGAGAGAGCAGAGTGAATAGTTCTTTCAAGAGGTGAGTATTGAAACTGGACTGAACTGGAAATCGAATTGAACCGCCAGTTCTAAATGTTTACCCAAGTAAGTGAAAATTGATTCGATTTCCAATTCTATATGTGGACCGAATCACCGGAACTAGACATATAGTCTTTTTTTATAATTCTTTTTATTACAAAACATTGGGAGGTTTTATGTGGTATTCCTCACTCTTCTCAAAACTCTAATTGTCTATAGGCTCAATCCCCTCTCGGTCCTCAGTTACTCTCGCTCGACGCTTCCTTCCTCAGTCTCTCTTGCTCAACGCTCGATGCCTCCCTCTGTCCCTCTCGCTTGACGCCATCTTGAGTCTCGACTGTTGCCTCACAACAGAAATAGGGTATGATGTGAAAGAAGCAGCTGAAGTGGGTCCTTGGAGTCCATATTGCAATGCCAAAACGCCGTAGTGGTCACACTCCGTTGCTTTTCTTGTTCTTAGATTAGTGCATTGGAAGTCTTAAAACTTGTTACGAAAGTGCAATTGAGTTTTAAAATTTGCAAAAAGTGCAATCGAGTTTTAAAACTTGTCAAATTGATACAATCGAGTCATTCCGTTAATTTCGTCCGACTTGGATAACAGAAAATGCTGATGTGACTTTTTTTATTATTATTGTCTCTTTCTGACGTAGCAATGACATGGCTAAAACGAAGTCGTTTCACTCCAAATCTGATTTTTACAACAAATTTTATTTAAATTAAATTAAAAATAAGCTAAAAAAAACAAAGAGAGGTGAGAACCAGGTGGCAAGGGCTTGCACAGCCCTTGCCACCCCCCTTAGCATTGCCGACGATGGCCAGCAGGGGTCGCTGGGGAATGGCTAGTAGGGAATGGCCGACGGGGGCTCTAATCCATGCCAAGAATGGCCCAACTTAGTTTTCCTGATGGAAACTAAGAATAAAAAACCAGTAGTGGACAGAGTTAGGAGGGGACTTCAGTTCCAACATTTGATGATAGTCGATCCTATAGGATAGAAAGTGGTTTGGCAATGTTATGGAATGACGACGTGGAAATGGGTTTAGAAGATAGCTAAAGGGACTTTATTGATGTATCCTGCAGGGACAAAGACAGTGAAAATATGATGCGTATAACATTCTTACATGCCTCCACAAACTTTCAAGAAAGACTTAAGTTATGGCAGCAGTTATATGCTATATGTTTAGGCTATCACCTCCCTTGGATATGTGTTGGAAACTTTAACGAAATTTTGTATTATTGCGAAAAGGTGGGCAGCAGAGAGACGAACCATTACAGGTTAGTGACTTACGTGATTTTCTGAATAGTTGCTCACTCATGGATATAGAAAGCAAGGGGTGTGCCGTCACATTGATTAAAGACGGGGAAGCACTAGTAAAGAAGAGACTAGACAAGGTCTATGCAACATTGATTACAGAGTTTTGTTCTCCAATGCTGAGGCTTACGCTCTACCAGCAATAGGCACTGACCATTGCCCAATTCTTCTCTCACTATCCTCAACATTGACCTAGCGAAAATAACCCAGTTTAGACCCATCAATTTGTGTAACTTCAGTTACAAAATTATTTCCAAGGTTATGGTGAACTATCTCAAGCCTAGGCTACCGGACCTCATTGTTCTTGAACAAAGTGCCTTTTAGTAGGAGACAAATTCAAGACAACATCTACATAGTCCAGGAAGTTCTACACCAATTGAGGATCAGGGAGAGAAAACGAAAGCTCCGGGCGATCTTAAACTGGATATGCAAAAAGCATACGATAGAGTCTAATGAGATTTTTTATGTGCCTGCACGTTGAAAATGGGTTTTTGTGAGAAATGGGTGTGACTAGTAAAGCAATGTATTTCCATAGTCACTTTCAGGGTCAAAGTCAACGGGGAGCCACTACAATACTTCCAACTATCTCAAGGAATTAGACAAGGAGACCCACTCGCATTCGACGTTCGAGACCAGTACTCCTTGTAAAGCTGCGCGAACAATGAATCGTCCTTGCCTACCAATTTCATAGGCTCATCATACTCCACCAATCTCCCTGTTAAATGCAAAGAGTGTCATGTATATCTCACGGTTCTTGTCGGTTCTTGCTAAACAGTTCTCCGTAAGTTTAAATTTACCATCACTTATTGCCAGCACCATCGAGCAGTCCATGACGGTCGGTATTCGGTGGGCCACGGTTATGACGGTGGAGTCCGCAAATTCCCTTCGTATGGTTCTCTGGAGGATCGAATCAGTCGCATTGTCAATAGATGCGGTGGCTTCGTCCAGGACTAGGATCCGGCTCCGCCTCAGCAACGCACGTCCTAGGCAAAACAATTGCCGTTGCCCCATGCTCCAGTTAGATCCATCATGTACGACTGCGATTTCAGTTGTGAAAACTTGTAATGATCAACAATGAACATAATATGACTGGATTTGTTGTTTGATTTGATCGTTACCTAGCGACTCCAGGCCCTTCTCTTTCTCTTGTATGGCCTCCCGGAGCTGACATTTTCCAAGAACCTTTCTCCACAGAAAGTCGATCAATCATCAAACATAACGCAAGTACTTCATTTTGCAGGAGGTATGGTAATTCAAGATTTAGTTCAGGAGCTCTCATTACATTCAAATCATGCACAGTGCGGTTATTTTTATAAGTCGAGTGTGGTTTGCAAAAGAAGGAAACATACGTCAATCTAATTTCAAGAGACGTCAGGATATTACCTCCCATATCTCCTCATCAGTGTGCTCAGACAAGGGGTCCAGGTTGTATCGAACTGTCCCACCAAAAAGTATTGGATCTTGCGGGATGACCCCAAACTGTGATCTCAGGTCATGAAGTCCAATAGTGGTTATGTCTAGGCCATCGACAATTATTTTCCCATCGATAGGCTCCACTAGACGGAACAAAGCACTGATGAGGGTCGTCTTTCCGCTACCGGTCCGGCCAACAATCCCGATCTTGTGTCCTCCTTTTATTTTACAGGTTATCCCATGAAGAACGAGAGGAGAATCAGGTCGATACCTGACCTGTTAATGTCTCGATGATCAAACTTAAGTGGCGTTACAAGAAAAGTCCCGAATTGAAAGGAGTGTTAGCAGGGCATGTGTCTACCTTTAGATCACAAATCTCGACATTGCCAAAAGAAGGCCAGTCTGGCGCTCGTCGGCGATCTTCAATCACATCCGGAGCTTCGCTTTGAATGTGCATGTACTGCTCTAGCCTTTCCACGGAAACGATCAAATTTGATAGTGAGCACTGGAATTGGACCGAAAATACCAGGAAGGCATTTAAAGATAAACCGTACGCCAGTGCCATTCCAACATATCCTGCATCCAATGATAGTCAGGCCCAACACCTGCTAAAATCTTCAAAGTCGGAAACCATTTCCTAGATGATATAGAAAAGGGAAAAGAACCAATTTGTCGATGCATAGCTGAATTTAGTAGAGTTAGACATCAGATTAAAAAGTGCCGAAGTAAAATGATACAAGTATAAGAGCCAAGCTTCTAGGGAAAGTCTCGATATGAAGAACTGAATTGAGCTTTTACTGATACGAACCAGAGGAAGAAGACCCGAGATCGAGAAAAGTAATTGCAAGGGCTGAGGACGTTAGGACAATAGCGCACAGGACTTCCAGACGTTGGACCAGCCACTCATTGGCGGAAAAGCTGTGAAAATATGGACTTGCGTTTGCATCGATAAGGCAAAGACTTCTTGAAAAGAACCGGTCTTCTTGGCCGAACGCTCTGATTGTCATCACTCCGGCGATAGACTCAGCAAGGTGGCTCGCAAGTGTAGACTTAGTTGTCCCATCGAGCCTCATCAACTCAGTCGAAGAAGCATAGTAGTATTTCTGTAGTAAAAGAAAGAGAAAAATCAATGCTACATTAAAATTTGAATGATATAAAGAAGTCTCTCGGCAGGTAGATGTGCAGAATTTTGCCTATTAAGGAACAACTAAGTGATTTGAGGCATAGGCATTACCTGTATGATAAGTGTCAAATAAATCATGGGTATGATGACAAATAAAACCGGCCATGTAAGAAAACCGAGTATCAAAAAGCTCGAGTAGGTATTCATCGTGGACACAAGAGCAATGGTTAACTTGAAGGCCACATCAATGTCAATGATGCTTAAATCTGAAGAAACCTATAAAATTCAGCAAATCCTGTTACTCATCTTAAACATCTTCAAAGCACAGCACAAATTTGATTTCAGAGCATGTTCTTACCCGGCTAAGTATTCTTCCCAAAGGAGTCGAGTCGTAAAAGGACATCGGCGCTCGAATAAGGGAGTGCAACAACACAGAGAATATGGACTCCGATGCGCCGCAACCTAAATAGACTATGAAATACGA